ATATTCAATTTTTGCAAATCTAATGTCTGGCTGAGCACAAGGCAGCTGGATTCTCATATCTGCTCTTGCACTCCAGCTGTTGCAATATGTGGTTTTTGGTTGAAGTGTGTGAAGAAAATCCAGCCCCACAAAGATAGGGAGGTAGAGAAGGCGGGTATTTAATAGACTTTATAGGCAGAATTCTAAGAATGACCCCCAAATGACCCTCACCTGCTTATACATTCCCTCTCTTTTGGGAGTGTTTCTGATGAGATATCACTCCCATGTTTGTGTTAGTTATATGGCAAAGGGAAATTATCAAGGTTGTACTCACCTAATCACGGGAGTCCTTTGAAAGAGGGTTCGTGGCCGGGTGCAGTGGCTCACGCCTGTAATCCTAGCACTTTGGGAGGCTGAGGTAGGCAAATCACCTGAGCTTAGGAGTTCGAGACTCCCCTGGGCAACATGGCAAAACCCACCTCTATCAAAAATGCAAAAATTAGCTAGGCATGGTGGTGCATACCTGTAATCCCAGCTACTCGGGAGCCTGAGGCAGGAGAATCACTTGAGCCCAGGAGGTGGAGGTTGCAGTGGGCCGAGATTGCACTGCTGCACTCCAACCTGGGCCACAGAGCGAGACCCTGTCTCAAAAAAAAAAAAAAAAAAAAAGGGTTTTCTAGTGGCAGAAAAGAAGTCGGAAGTCAGAGAGATGCAAACTTGACTATGCTGTTGATGGTTTCCAAATGAAGAGAGCTGCGTAAGAAGGAGTGTAGGTAGCCTCTAGGAGCCACGGGCAGCCTCTGGATGATAGCTAGCAAGTCAAGGGGGCCTCAGACCCACATCCTGAAGGACCTGGATTCTGCTAACAACCTGAGTAAGCTTGTAAGGGGCCTTTTCCCCAGAGCCTCCAGATAAGAGCCCAGCTCAGCTGACCACTTCACCTCAGCCTTGTGAGATCCTAAGCAGGGAACTCAGGTGAACACACCTGGATTTCTAACCTATATAACTGCGAGATGATAAATGGGTATCATACTAAGTTGTTAAGTTTGTGGTAATTTGTTATGGCAGCAATAGAGAACTAATAAATGGTGTGGGGATTCTTGATAACTACACCTAAACTTTACAAGTGGTTTTTTCTTAATGTTTCTTTGCAATGCTGAATCTGAAACTAAACTATATCAGTGAACCTTTTGTACTCTGTTACATTAAAATCTACTGGTCCGCCAGGTGCCATGGCTCACACCTGTAATCCCAGCACTTTGGGAGGCTGAGGTGGGTGGATTGCTTGAGGTAAGGAGTTCAAAACCAGGCTGGCCAATATGGCAAAACCCTGTCTGTACAAAAAATACAAAAATTAGCCAGGCATGGTGGTGTACGCCTATAGTCCCAGCTACTTGGGAAGTTGAGGCACGGAAATTGCTTGAACCTGGGAGGCGGAGGTTGCAGTGAGCCAAGATTGTGCCATTGTGCTCCAGCCTGGGCAACAGAGTGAGATTCTGTCTCAAAAAAAAAAAAAAAAAATCAATTGCACTTTGAATGGATCTGTTACCATGCATGATTTTGTAACATCATGCATTAGTCATCTGGAAAATATCTGTCTACCCAGTTATGCAGATCTTCCCATTGTTGACTCGCTTTTTGATTGTACAATATTAAAAAATCACATTCATTAATATCCCTACTAATCTTATTAGAAAGCTCTTTAGGATATTGAGAAGCTCTCAAGTTCACAGTGGCTGATACAGGTTTTCCAAAATTTTGCTTTTTCCTTGAAAGCTTAACTTTTATCCTTGACAACAAATAGTAACAGTTGTTTTCCTTGAGGTGACAGGATCATTTTGTCCATTTTTAACAAAATACTTGCCAAGCACCCAAGTTCGAATAACCACAATTTATCTGTCAATCATTCAAGTAAAAAAATAAAGTGCTCCCCAGCACTTTGGGAAGCTGAGGCAGGTGGAATGCTTGAGCCCAGGAGCTTGAGACCAGCCTGGGCAACATAGCGACACTATGTCTCTACTAAAAAAATAAAACAATTAGCTGGGCATGGTGGCACAAGCCTATAGTCCCAGCTACTTGGGAGGCTGAAGTGGGAAGATTGCTTGAGGCTGGGAGATCGAGGCTGCAGTGAGCCGTGATGGCACCACTGCACTTCAGCCTGCATGACAGAGCCAGACCCCGTCTGGAAAAAAAAAAAAAAAAAAAAAAAAAAAAAAAAAAAGAGTTCCATAAAAAATTCGCTAGTTTAGCTTGTAAGTCAATTGTGCAAGTGCTTTTCCTCATGACAATTGCATTTCAGTATGCAAAAGTGCTTTATATATCCATATGTACTTCCTATTTTGTCACACAGATGATTACAAAGACATACTCAAAAGTTTGATATTGAATAAAAATTAATAACTTTTGCTGTTTCATTGAGACATTCTTAAATGAACCTGACATTTCTTCTACCAGGAATACATTGGTGACAAAGAAGAACATGAATACAATGTAGTGTCACTGCCTTGATCCATGCTAAGTCGCCAGCACTTTCACCCACCATAGCTTTTTCATCCTCAGTACAAATGTCAACACAGCAAAAAAAGGCAAATAACGTCTTAGTACTATATGAAACGAGATATTTTTTGTTTGTTTGTTTGTTTGTTTTTAGAGACAGGGTCTCACTCTATCGCCCAGGCTGGAGAGCAGTGGTGCAATCGTAGCTCACTATAGCCTTGAAGTTCTAGGCTCAAGTGGTCCTCCCACCTCAGCCTCCTGGGTAGCTGGGATGACAGTTGTGCACCACCATGCCCAGCTACTTTTTATTACTTTTTTTGTAGAGACAAGGTCTCATATGTTGCCCAGGCTGGTTTGGAACTCCTGGCTTCAAAAGATCCTACTGCCTTGGACTCCCAAAGTGCTGGAATTACAGGTGTGAGGCACCATGCCTGGCCCCATGAAAGCAGTTTTGACTGAACCTCCTGAATCTTAGGGCTCCCTGGATCTTTGGACCACATTTTTAGGGCTGCTGGTCTAGGCTGAGGCTGGAAGGGGAGGGAAGAGGCCTGGGAAAGAGTGGAGATGAAATTTTAATAATGCTTAGAAATGTCCTGTCAGTAGAGGAGACAGCTGGGCATGAAGAGGAGGAGAGGATTCCTAGGTTCCTTCCCAAAGGACCTCTGCTGTTGTTGTGCCATTTCCTACTCCTGACCTGCCTTGTTCATGAGCTGTCCCAGCCAAGTCAACAGCGACCCTCTGTAACTACTCGTATCCTGGGATCTTGAGTGCTCTGTCTTACAAGGCCCCAATGCGAATAGAGAATCCCACCCTGACCCATGCACCTGTCATAGCTGTCTGCCACCCTACCGTGGAGCCCCAAGGCTACTTGCTAGACTAAATCTATTAGTCTTCTCAGACCAATTACCTGTGTCAACACCATTCCATTTGCATGAAATGAACACCTGCCATGTCCCCAGTCCTGGGCCAGGTGCTGATGGGAGGGAGGAGACGAGACTAAGCCACAGCACCTCAATACAAAGGCTTGCTTCCTATCCAAAACAGTGACTGAAAAGAGGGCCGACACCCCTACATGGGGGAAAGCTCAAATGAGAGGCCTGCAGAAGGAGGCAGATGTTAGCGTAGCTTGGAGGCTTCCTGCAGTCAGTGTGAATTCAAGGAGGACCTGGAAGGGAGGGCAGAATTTGTGTCATGGGGAAGAGAGGTGTTCTAGACTTGGAAGGGGTTAGGGGTGTGGAGATGGTCATGTGCAGGGATACTGTAGTAACAAGCCTGCTGGAAGTAAGGGGGAGAACAGGGTGGAGTCAGAGGTGAGGCTTGAAAGAATAGGGAAAATGTGTAAATGCCTTTTATTCCCATCACTCATGAGCTGCCATTGCGGGTGTCTGAGCAGGATGGAAGCTATGTTCTGGGAAGCCAAATCTGGCCCAGTATGCAAAACACCTGAAAGTATGTGGGACAGAAAAGGAACACTAGCTTCCATACAGTATTTTATTTCATCCTCACTCTAGTCCTGGGAGATGGGTACTATTGTTTTCATCCCCAGGAAATTGAGGCTCAGAAATTGGTTCACTTACCCAACATTACCTGCATGGTAAAGGATCGAGGAAGGCTTCCAACCTAGGCCTGCTTCTAAACCCTGTGCTCTATATAGCCACAATGTATGCAATGATGGAGGGGCAAAAGGAATAATCATAATAGTCACCATTTACTGAGTGCTAACTACATGTCAGGTTTTAAGCAAAATTCATGCACTATTTCTTTCGGTCTTCACTGCAACTCTGTGAAGTAGGAACCATTATTTTTTCCCCACACCCAAGTCTAGCTGTAGGGCCCAAGCTTTTTCCACTTTAAGTTTGACTGCAAAAGTACAGGCATTAGACAAGAAGGCCCTGAGTTAGAGTAGCAGACAAACCTCTCAATAGCTCCTTGAGCCTGGGTAAATTACTTAATCTCTCCATGCTTCAGTTTTGTGCTCACCTTTATTTTTATGGCTTTTTGTTTGTTTGTTTTTAGATGGAGTTTCGCTCTATCTGCCCAGGCTGGAGTGTAGTGGTGCGATCTCATTTTACTTCAACCTCCACCTCCCGGGGTTCAAGTGATTCTCCTGTTTCAGCCTCCTGAGTAGCCGGGATTACAGGTGCCCCAAGCCACCATGCCCAACTAATTTTTGTATTTTTAGTAGAGACAGGGTTTCGCTATGTTGGCCAGGAGGGTCTTGAACTCCTGACCTCAGGTGATCCGTCCATCTCGGGCAGATCACCCAAAGTGCTGGGATTACAGGCATGAGCCACTGCGCCCAGCCTCTGCTTACCTTTAAATGGCAGCAATAATAGTAACTACCTCATAAGATTTTTGTGAGGAGTCAATAATAAAACAATAAAGCACTTAGCATGGTGCCTGGCACACAGTAAGCAGTCAATAGATGTGAGCTATTTTTCTTGTCATTGTTTTTGTTAGTTTCTCAGGATCCACATCCCAGGAAAATAGCTGCCACTAGTTACTAGTATCTTTTGCTTACTTAGCCAGGATCATCAGGACACCAAGACTAAAAGGACAAGAGGAAAGACCGCGCTACTGAGAATTCAGCATCGCTTCATCTTCCCAAGGTCTCAGGCCAGGCTGGGAAAAGGGGCTGTCTCAGAGAAGAAAGGATGAAGAGGCTGGCCCAAGGAGCCAGGGGAGGAGCTGGATGGAAGGACAGGACGGAGAAGGGATGGAGCCCAGCTGGGAGTGACGTTTCCAAACACCTCCCTCCTGCCCACCTTCTTCCTCAGAGCATTGTTTTTCTAGGCTTCTGCAGTCCAAATGAGGAGCAAATGGGGAGCTGCGAGAGGTTCTGCCAAGAGAATCTGCACCACATGGGCCACAGCCCTGGCTCAAATGGTGGACCAAGCGGCGGAGGGTGTAGGAAGAGAGCTGACCCAGGAACAAACTGTTCTCCAGAGGGGACCCCCTGTCCCAGGAACCCAAGGGACTGCATATAAGAGTTGGCACATTTGGGACATTTGGACTGGAGGGCAGAGGCCCCAGGCACCATTTGCTATTTATGATTTGGAGGCAGGCCCAGGTTGGGGAGAGAAACTTCTCCTTTGCTCCTCTTTCAGAGCAGGCCCTGTGTTACTTCGGGCCTCCACCAGGCACCCTCACTGGATGTTTAGGCCTCCTGCCTTCAACCCCAGGAGCCCCAGCTTGCAAGGCAGAGGCCAGAGGGAAAGAGGAAGAGCTCCTTTCTGGAGAGGAGTTCAGAACCTGTTGCTGGAACTTTCAACCTGGCATTCAACGTTCTCCTCCCTCTGTTGCCCGCTGGCCTAGGCTCTCGCTTCCCAAGACAGCCCACTCTCCCCACTGTTCCCCAGTGGCAGGGTAGGGCTGGGCAGTGGTTAGGAGCACAGAGACTCCCCAAGTTCAAATCCCAATCTTGTCACTTTTAGTTCTGTGACCCTGGGTAAGTTCCCCAGTCTCATCTTTAAAATGCAGCTTTTAATAGTATCTTCGTCACTGGGTTGTTTGTGAGACTTGAATTAATTCATGCAGAGTGCTTAGAACAATGCCTGGCATATAAATGTTTAACAAATGTTCTCTACTTATTATCCACCTCTGTGTCACTTTTCTCTGCCAGAATTGCATTTCCACCTGCTCTCTGCCTCCTTAAACCCAGTCCAGCTCAATCTCCCCCTCCTCCATGAAATCTTTGGGCAGTATCCAGTCTCCTGACCTCTGTTACACCCGGCAATGAGACCAGAACCATTTTGAGAGCAAAGGACAATGACGTGAGCAGCACTAACTAAATTAATCACAGAATAACATCTGTGCTATTCTCCTTAGTGCTATCAAACTTTTTGACTGTGACCCACAGTAAGAAATATATTTTATAGCATGGCCCAGTCCATGCATTTGGTATCAGTGTATTCATTTGATATACAATGAATTTGTATATAAACATTGCTATAGAATATGAAAAAAAATATCCGTGGGTGTTGGGACATACCTGTGGTCCCAGCTACTTGGGAAGCTGAGGTGGAAGGATCGTTTGAGCCCAGGAAGTCAAGGCTGCAGTGAGCTGTGATCGTGCCACTGCATTGCAGCCTGGGTGACAGGGTGAGACCCTGTCAAAAAAAAAAAAAAAAAGAAAGAAAGAAAGAAAGAAAGAAAGAAAGAAAGAAAGAAAGAAAGAAAGAAAGAAAGAAAGAAAGAAAGAAAGAAAGAAAAAAAATACACTGTCCCAAGAATGATCCTGAGCCTTCCCTCCAGAGGCCCTAAACCCTGAAAAGTTTACAGGTGAATGGCATGTTTGCGGGATGGAGATAGAGTCGAGGGAGGCTGCAGTGGACGGTGTGTGGAAGGCCTTCTGAGGCAGAAGACCAGAGAGCAGGCTGAGCTCAGATGTCAAAGGGCTTTAACTGCCACACGAAGGAGTTTGGACATTTTCTATAGGCACTGGAAGTTTTTAAGGAGAAGAAGACCATACTTGGCTATGTATTTTAGAAAGACCTCTGGGGCAGCTGTGAGGAGAATGGATTGGAAAGGCTAACTCACAGACAGGGAAAACTATGAGGAAGCTCTGGTTGAGCATCCAGGTGAGAGAGGACGGATGAGGCCATAATTTAAGAAACAATTGGGAGAGTGGAGGAGTGCAGAACATGGAGGAGACAAAAGTCAGAAATGGTGAAGACAAATCAGCAGCCAAAGTTTTGAGCTTGAGTAACTGGGTCAATATGATGCTGGTTTCCAAGGTAGGTACAGAGGAGATTTGTCCCGGGAGAAAACAGTTCAGTTTTGGAATAAGTTTGAGATACCCATTGGGAAAATTTCAGTGGGAAACATAACTCTCATTCTTTCATTCATTCAATAAACATTTATGAGACTGACATAGATAAACTAACATTTTGTTTTGCCAAAGTAGAAACATTAAAGAAATAAAGTAACTTCCATCATTGCCATCATTTCAAAGAACATTTTACTACCAAAAACTAGGAAGAGCATAATCTCAGAACAAAGGAGAGTCCTTTATAATTTTTTTTTTTTTTTTTTTTTTTTTTTTTTTTTTTTT